AGTATGTAGTATTAGATGGTAGGTCGAGGTTGGTATTAATACAGTATGTAGTATTAGATGGTAGGTCGAGGTTGGTATTAATACAGTATGTAGTATTAGATGGTAGGTCGAGGTTGGTATTAATACAGTATGTAGTATTAGATGGCAGGTCGAGGTTGGTATTAATACAGTATGTAGTATTAGATGGTAGGTGGAGGCTGGTATTATTGCAGTATGTAGTATTAGATGGCAGGTCGAGGTTGGTATTAATACAGTATGTAGTATTAGATGGCAGGTCGAGGTTGGTATTATTGCAGTATGTAGTATTAGATGGCAGGTCGAGGTTGGTATTAATGGAGTATGTAGTATTAGATGGCAGGTCGAGGTTGGTATTAATGGAGTATGTAGTATTAGATGGCAGGTCGAGGTTGGTATTATTGCAGTATGTAGTATTAGATGGCAGGTCGAGGTTGGTATTAATGCAGTATGTAGTATCAGATGGCAGGTCGAGGTTGGTATTATTGCAGTATGTAGTATTAGATGGTAGGTCGAGGTTGGTATTAATACATTATGTAGTATTAGATGGCAGGTCGAGGTTGGTATTATTGCAGTATTTAGTGTTAGATGGCAGGTCGGGGTTCTATTAATGCAGTATGTAGTATTAGATAGCAAGTCGGGGTTCTATTAATGCAGTATGTAGTATTAGATGGCAGGTCGAGGTTGGTATTAATGCAGTATGTAGTATTAGATGGCAGGTCGAGGTTGGTATTAATACAGTATGTAGTATTAGATGGCAGGTCGAGGTTGGTATTATTGCAGTATGTAGTATTAGATGGTAGGTCGAGGTTGGTATTAATGTAGTATTAGATGGCAGGTCGAGGTTGGTATTATTGCAGTATGTAGTATTAGATGGCAGGTCGAGGCTGGTATTATTGCAGTATGTAGTATTAGATGGCAGGTCGAGGTTGGTATTAATGCAATATGTAGTATTAGATGGCAGGTCGAGGCTGGTATTAATGCAGTATGTAGTATTAGATGGCAGGTCGAGGTTGGTATTATTGCAGTATCTAATATTAGATGGTAGGTCGAGGTTGGTATTAATGTAGTATTAGATGGCAGGTCGAGGTTGGTATTATTGCAGTATGTAGTATTAGATGGCAGGTCGAGGCTGGTATTATTGCAGTATGTAGTATTAGATGGCAGGTCGAGGCTGGTATTATTGCAGTATGTAGTATTAGATGGCAGGTCGAGGTTGGTATTAATGCAATATGTAGTATTAGATGGCAGGTCGAGGTTGGTATTAATGCAGTATGTAGTATTAGATGGCAGGTCGAGGTTGGTATTATTGCAGTATGTAGTATTAGATGGTAGGTCGAGGTTGGTATTAATGCAGTATGTAGTATTAGATGGCAGGTCGAGGTTGGTATTAATGCATTTTGTAGTATTAGATGGCAGGTCGGAGTTCTATTAATACAGTATGTAGTATTAGATGGTAGGTCGAGGTTGGTATTATTGCAGTATGTAGTATTAGATGGCAGGTCGAGGTTGGTATTATTGCAGTATGTAGTATTAGATGGCAGGTCGAGGTTGGTATTAATGCAGTATGTAGTATTAGATGGTAGGTCGAGGTTGGTATTATTGCAGTATGTAGTATTAGATGGTAGGTCGAGGTTGGTATTATTGCAGTATGTAGTATTAGATGGCAGGTCGAGGTTGGTATTAATGCAGTATGTAGTATTAGATGGCAGGTCGAGGTTGGTATTATTGCAGTATGTAGTATTAGATGGTAGGTCGAGGTTGGTATTAATGCAGTATGTAGTATTAGATGGCAGGTCGAGGTTGGTATTAATGCAGTATGTAGTATTAGATGGCAGGTCGAGGTTGGTATTATTGCAGTATGTAGTATTAGATGGTAGGTCGAGGTTGTTATTAATGCAGTATGTAGTATTAGATGGCAGGTCGAGGCTGGTATTAATGCAGTATGTAGTATTAGATGGCAGGTCGAGGTTGGTATTAATGCAGTATGTAGTATTAGATGGCAGGTCGAGGTTGGTATTAATGCAGTATGTAGTATTAGATGGCAGGTCGAGGTTGGTATTAATGCAGTATGTAGTATTAGATGGCAGGTCGAGGTTGGTATTAATGCAGTATGTAGTATTAGATGGCAGGTCGAGGTTGGTATTAATGCAGTATGTAGTATTAGATGGCAGGTCGAGGTTGGTATTAATGCAGTATGTAGTATTAGATGGCAGGTCGAGGTTGGTATTAATGCAGTATGTAGTATTAGATGGTAGGTCGAGGTTGGTATTAATACAGTATGTAGTATTAGTTGGCAGGTCGAGGTTGGTATTAATACAGTATGTAGTATTAGATGGTAGGTCGAGGTTCTATTAATGCAGTATGTAGTATTAGATGGCAGGTCGGGGTTCTTTTAATACAGTATGTAGTATTAGATGGCAGGTCGAGGTTGGTATTAATGCAGTATGTAGTATTAGATGGTAGGTCGAGGTTGGTATTAATGCAGTATGTAGTATTAGATGGCAGGTCGAGGTTGGTATTAATGCAGTATGTAGTATTAGATGGTAGGTCGAGGTTGGTATTAATGCAGTATGTAGTATTAGATGGCAGGTCGAGGTGGTATTAATACAGTATGTAGTATTAGATGGCAGGTCGAGGTTGGTATTATTGCAGTATGTAGTATTAGATGGCAGGTCGAGGTTGGTATTATTGCAGTATGTAGTATTAGATGGCAGGTCGAGGTTGGTATTAATGCAGTATGTAGTATTAGATGGCAGGTCGAGGCTGGTATTAATGCAGTATGTAGTATTAGATGGCAGGTCGAGGTTGGTATTATTGCAGTATGTAGTATTAGATGGCAGGTCGAGGTTGGTATTAATGCAGTATGTAGTATTAGATGGCAGGTCGAGGCTGGTATTAATGCAGTATGTAGTATTAGATGGCAGGTCGAGGTTGGTATTAATGCAGTATGTAGTATTAGATGGCAGGTCGAGGTTGGTATTAATGCAGTATGTAGTATTAGATGGCAGGTCGAGGTTGGTATTAATACAGTATATAGTATTAGATGGCAGGTCGAGGTTGGTATTAATGCAGTATGTAGTATTAGATGGCAGGTCGAGGCTGGTATTATTGCAGTATGTAGTATTAGATGGCAGGTCGAGGTTGGTATTAATACAGTATGTAGTATTAGATGGCAGTTCGAGGTTGGTATTATTGCAGTATGTAGTATTAGATGGCAGGTCGAGGTTGGTATTAATACAGTATGTAGTATTAGATGGTAGGTCGAGGTTGGTATTATTGCTGTATGTAGTATTAGATGGCAGGTCGCGGTTGGTATTAATACAGTATGTAGTATTAGATGGTAGGTCGAGGTTGGTATTATTACAGTATGTAGTATTAGATGGCAGGTCGAGGTTGGTATTAATACAGTATGTAGTATTAGATGGTAGGTCGAGGTTGGTATTAATACAGTATGTAGTATTAGATGGTAGGTCGAGGTTGGTATTAATACAGTATGTAGTATTAGATGGCAGGTCGGGGTTCTATTATTGCAGTATGTAGTATTAGATGGCAGGTCGAGGTTGGTATTAATACAGTATGTAGTATTAGATGGTAGGTCGAGGTTGGTATTAATACAGTATGTAGTATTAGATGGTAGGTCGAGGTTGGTATTAATACAGTATGTAGTATTAGATGGCAGGTCGAGGTTGGTATTAATACAGTATGTAGTATTAGATGGTAGGTCGAGGTTGGTATTAATACAGTATGTAGTATTAGATGGCAGGTCGAGGTTGGTATTAATACAGTACTGTTATTGGGGTTTATTCCGCGTAAGAGAGAGGTGCTAGGTTCACATGACTCGATAGGTGTGTGCGTGTTTATAATTAAGGTTCTTATGTCATTGCAACTGGCAGTACATCAGCTCTAGTTGTCCTGCCCTCGTGACTCATTGGGAGCAGTATGGAGCAACAATTTTATATAATACTCTAAGCAGATCATAACACAGCATCCTGCGCTCTATCAACTGAAACTACTACAAAAACAATGGCTGCAGCCTTGTCACACGTAGTATGGTACTGTCACACGTAGTATGGTACTGTAGCAGAGTGTCCTGGAATTGGTGTAGATGGTGTAGGGAGCCGTAGTGGAATAGTATTGTCCTGGAATTGGTGTAGATGGTGTAGGGAGCTGTAGTGGAATAACAGTGTCCTGGAATTGGTGTAGATGGTGTAGGGAGCTGTAGTGGAATAGCAGTGTCCTGGAATTGGTGTAGATGGTGTAGGGAGCCGTAGTGGAAAAGCAGTGTCCTGGAATTGGTGTAGATGGTGTAGGGAGCCGTAGTGGAATAGCAGTGTTTTGGAATTGGTGTAGATGGTGTAGGGAGCCATAGTGGAATAGCAGTGTCCTGGAATTGGTGTAGATGGTGTAGGGAGCCGTAGTGGAATAGCAGTGTCCTGGAATTGGTGTAGATTCTGTTGGGAGCAGTAGTGGAATAGCAGTGTTTTGGAATTGGTGTAGATGGTGTAGGGAGCCATAGTGGAATAGCAGTGTCCTGGAATTGGTGTAGATTCTGTTGGGAGCAGTAGTGGAACTGATCCTGTGAGCTTGCGCTCTAATTTGACATGTTCTCTCTATGTTCCAGGCAGTGGGTGTAGATCGGGTGAAATAGATGGCGTGCAGCATTCTCTGTCACGGTGAACTATACCTGCAGTGCGAGGTGATAACTGACCTGGTAATCCTCCAAGTGTGATATTAAAGGGGCCCTTCTATAGCTGCAGAATTTCAGGTGAGCAATGTATCCCATTTACAGAGACTGTCCAGATAACTGTGTGTGCATGGAGGGTTATGTAATGGGCGAATCTGCAAAATCAACTTTTTTTTTCTTTTTTTTTTTTTATGTTGGTTTGTCTTCTTATTTTATACTTCCAATGTTAATCATGCCCTTTCCAATCCTCTTTCTCCTTTTTTTAGAGACCCTAGACTCTAATTTTGAATAATTGAATATGGAAGTTAAAGGTCTTTGGGGGATCTCCACTACAGGTAAAACATGCATTATCTCCTGCCTCCACCACCCCGCGCTGTGCGGCCCGTCGCCTCCTGCCTCCACCACCCTGCGCTGTGCCAAACGTGCCTACACCACGAGTCCCTTGAGAAGCCTGCTAGCTAGCCTCCTGCCCAAGGACTATGGGACATATACAAATACCCTGTTCAGGAGTTAAACCTCCCCAGCCACCATTAGTAGCTTGTCCTGGTTGCCCCTGGTTCGGCACTTTACCTTCATGCGAATGGAACCGAACAATGGTTTTCTGGTGGCCATTCGCATTAAACCAAACCCACGAATAGTCCTTGTAACATAAGCCCTGTCGTGGATTACAAAATTATTGCCGTTGAAACTCTTGTTGCAATATCCTGCACCTAATAACACATACGAATTTAAAAACGAACAAACCATATGTAATTTGTTCATATACCGAACAGTTTGCTGAACATTAAGCCAGTCGTGTGGATGCCACTGACTCATTTGATTCTATGCCAAACCGCAACTCTAACGTTCTAAGTGGTTCACTGGATCAATTCATATGCACGAACACGTGGCGCCGGCCGTCTTGTTTTGTCAAACGTGTCCAGTGGGATTTGGTCGTCGAGTGTATGGAACTATTTTCTGACACTCGATCTCCCGACCACCGCTGAGACTTCCAGGACCAGTCAGATTCTTGATAATCCATCCGAAGGTGGCATTCGGTAGAAAGAATATATGAATGAAGCAGCACACGACCATCACACTGTATTTCCCTGTGCCCAACAAGATCCACCTGGGTGGCAACCTTGTTGGGAAAGTTGCATAAAGAACCAGCCTTGGCCATTAAAGCTTCAGATCTGCTTAACCCTTAACACGTAGCCTTGTCTCGTGCTTGTAGGGAACCTGCTTCACAACTAATCACTAGCTCTTGTAAGAGCTCTATTACACCTCCAATTACTGGTTCGGCTGAGATGACATTAGGAGAATATAGCAACACAACTCCTCTCAAGGGAAAGGGCGTCTCTAACGGCATACAGCCCTCTGATACTCAGGGTGGCTGTTACAGTCCTCAGCGGTACTTAGCCGCGATAGCTTTGGAACTGATTTCGGCATGAGGACTTCTTGGGTTCCTGGTCACCTCAGCGGGACTTAGCCACAACTGATATGGAACTCTTTTTCAGGATAAGGTTACCGTGCGGTTCCCAGACAACTTGGTTCGCAGTTTTGAACCTCTTTGAAATCCGACCAGGAGAGCACTTTTTGGAGGGAAAGTGCCTGAGGCTAAAATGCACAAACCGTAACTGAGAGCCAGGAGTAACACCCCGTATTGTGGCTGCAGGAGCTCCAGAAAGGCCAAAGCATGTTTCCCATATGCTGCATGTATCTGAGCTCTATTTAGAGAACCAGGGCGCTCAGATCGGGGCTATTTGGGGATGTATTATTTGCAGGGTTATTTTATGTTTTTACGATGTTTTGGGGTATTTTTGTGTTTTGTTTGCCTCTCTGTTCCTGTGATATAATTATCTCCCAGGCACAGAGATTTATGGGATGGGCTTGTCTTGCATTGAATGGAGACCCCATGCTGGAGGCTGTGTATAAAAGCAGACAACTTGGCCATAATAAATCATTTCCTTTACACGCCTCATTCAGTCTGGACTAGTGTTTGGGTGTACCAGCTATACAGCTATACTCTCTGCAGGAGAGCTTAATCACTTGAAACTGTACCCAGGACACTGAAGCGATGGAGAGATCCCAACCAAGCTGCGGTGGCTAGGGGCTAAAGCACTCCTGTGTCCCAGATGAGAGCTATGAAGCGAGCTTGACAGAGGTAGCCAGTCAGGGTGCCAGGCGGTCCGTCACATCCGCAATCCTAGATTTTTCGATCATTCTGTTCTCCATAGATTATTTTGCCTTTTCTTTACTTTGTATCGTATGAAGATTCATTAGTTCATTCCATGTTCCTCCACGTCTTGCTCTCTACAGCTCTGTGTTCTACCTCTCTCTCCTCAAAGGTAGATGTTGTAGAATTACTACTTGCATTCTAAAGGCTAGAAAATCATCATGGGAGTTGTAGTTCTACAACATCGGAGGATGCTTAGCCCAGCCCTATGTCATATCTACCATAGTCCTCCACCCTGCTCCCACCTGTTACTCCTGTATTATGTCACATTGCCCCTTGTGCACCCTTTCCTTCATCATTCTAAACTCTGCCTACAGGTGCTTCTCCATTCGACATGACCCCCACACAGAGGGCTCAGCAGATTTCAGAGTTGACAGAGAGGCAACGAGAACTGCAGGATTCTCTGAGACAGAAAGTTATCGAGCTCCGGAGACTGTGTCTGCAGGAAGCCGTGAGTCATTCCGCTGTGCATTACTCCTCACGTCTTACTCTCAGCCCCTTCATCAATCCTCTCCATCCCCATCTATCCCTCCCTCTCAAACTTCCCCCGTTTCCCCTTCAAAAAGTAGGGCTCTGCCTTTCTCATCATATGTTCTGAACAACCACCCCCATCCACTGAACTACTGGGACTCCCTCTTAATCCGCCCCCCCCATCCACTGAACTATAGGGACTCCCTCTTAATCCGCCCCCCCATCCACTGAACTACAGTGACTCCCTTTTAATTCTCCATGAATTTATGGGACACCATCTTGAGTACAATACAATACCCTGAACAAGTGGAGTGCTTTTTATTCCAAGAACAAGTATGGTATCTGTCTTCAGTCAGTGGTGTGAAGCCCAGTGTCACCGTTAGTGCAGAATATTTTCTGTGTGTGGTGAGGTATTCATTTGAACTTGATTGGAACTGATATACTGATTGCAGACTCGAACACAGCTTGAATTTGAAACTTGGTAGTGCCCTTTCAGTAATATTTAGGGTTCCTGCTCTACGAGCTGAGATGTTGGGTGACCTCACCCCCTGTTTGGGTACCCCTGGCTACCAACTAATAACCTCCTGTATTGACGCAGGAACTGACTGGCCACTTACCCCCTGATTACCCCCCGGAGTATGGAGAACCTGCTCCCATGGTGACACGACGTCCGAGAGCAGCTTACAGAGTCACCGCATCCACTGTCACCAGAAGCGAGGTAGGTCTTCCCTCTGTCTCCAACCCAATTCCACCTATGCCCCCCATGGGTCACTCACTCTTCTCTATTCCTCTGCCAGGAGGTGCAGTTGGAGCGCTTAGAAAGGGACTTTGCTCTGCAGCTTCAGATGGCGGAAGCTGCTCGGAAGCTGAGCATGGCGGCAGAACAAAGTGCAGAGCTCACAATGGAACAGCGAAGGAAGCGGAGGCTCGTGTACCTGGATGCTCTGCGAAGGCTGCAGGAACTAGAAGAACAGAGCAACAATCTACGCCGAAAGCTGGGCATGAGACCGATCCAACGCGTTCCACACAGTTTGTTTGGTAAGCACAGGATCCATTACTTTAGCCTAAGGAAGGGAGATTCCATTACTCTGGGTGAGGGAGGGTAGGTTCCATTGCTCTGGGTGAGGAGAGAGAGTGGGTTCTGTTGAGGGGCAGAAGGTTCTATTACTCTAGGGGGATGGATGAAGGTTCCATTACTCTGTAGGGAGGGGGGATATTCCATTTATCTAGGAGGGAAGGAAAGATTTTCTTACTCTCTGTGCACAGGGAAGTCATTTTTACTCTGGGAGAGAACATTTTGTTACTTTTTGTGGGGAGGGGGGTTAATTACTCCAACAGGAGAGGGAAGGTGGTTTTGGTACATGTGGTCATCTTTGCACCACTCCAGGGTTCTGTTTCTTCTGGTATTTCAGATGAAGTTTTCCAATCTGAGTGCAGCTCCAAGCCCGAGGCCACGAATCACGGTGAGGGGCCCAGAGACCAGTAAGAATTTAATGTACAGAGCAGTTTCGGCTCCCATCTCACTCTTCTCTTTCCCAACAGAAGATCTTGCTCCGGTTATGAGACAGTCACCTCCGCGAATTTCTGATCACTCCCGTGCTGTGTCTAGCAGTCCAGAGCGTCGAGTGGGATGGAAGGCCGTGCCACTGGAAATGTACTGTGAGGTGCATAATCGGCGTAACTCTATGGCCAGCTCCTCAAGGTAACTGTGAAGGAGTGAGGACACCGAGAACTGAGCAGGTTAGGTTAGGGCATAGGAAGTCAGCTGAGGGTGCATAGAACATGGCTAGCATAGCGGGTAAGATGGCTTGAGGAAGCAGGTAGTGGAGCTACAGATGTGAATGAATAGTAGAGGTAAGGTGTGGACGTGGGTAGGTGGGTTAGGGAGAGCCAAGCAGATGGGGAAGGTGATGCCTATAGTCAGGGCCAGATTTAGTCTGTGAAACCACAAAGGTTATACGTGTAGACTTAATGCTTTGGCGTCTAAATTCCAGAACTAAAATTTATCCATTTAGAGTGCAGAGATAAGGACAGCACTAACCAGTAACACATTGTGTGGTTATTGTACCAGGAGTGCCCTGCTGCACCTCCCCTTTAATAAGTAATTGTTGAGCATTTGTGTGGTATGGTTGTGTGTGTGTGTGTATTAAGCTGGCTGAGTGTGGGGTGTGTGTGTGTGTGTGTGTGTGTGTGTGTGTGTATAAAGTTATATGTTAATTCAGCATTGACTTTAGCTTCCCCACACATTTTTATAATTTAAACAATTTAATAAAATTAATAAAACAAAACACCCTTTTTATGCCCTTTCTGCAGGGAGGGTTATAATCTCTGTTGGGTGCTGTGATTGGATCCCTGGTGGTCCAGTGGGGGAATGTGTGACATGCAGATAACTGTAAACTCTCCTTCCAAGCAGCGTTCACGGAGTCAGATCAGTTTAATGCCATGGTTACCTGGCGGCAGAGCTCTCTCATTTAGAAACATAGAATGTGACGGCAGATAAGAACCATTCGGCCCATCTAGTCTGCCCAATTTTCTAAATACTTTCATTAGTCCCTGGTCTTATCTTATAGTTAGGATAGCCTTATGCCTATCCCATGCATGCTTAAACTCCTTTACTGTGTTAACCTCTCCCACTTCAGCCGGAAGGCTATTCCATGCATCCACTACCCTCTCAGTAAAGTAATACTTCCTGATATTATTTTTAAACCTTTGTCCTTCTAATTTAAGACGATGTCCTCTTGTTGTGGTAGTTTTTCTTCTTTTAAATATAGTCTCCTCCTTTACTGTGTTGATTCCCTTTATATATTTCTATCATATCCCCCCCCGTCTCGTCTTTCCTCCAAACTATACATGTTAAGATCCTTTAACCTTTCCTGGAAAGTTTTATCCCGCAATCCATGAACCAGTTTAGTAGCCCTTCTCTGAACCCTCTCTAAGGTATCAATATCCTTCTGAAGATACGGTCTCCAGTACTGCGTACAATACTCCAAGTGAGGTCTCACCAGTGTTCTGTATAATGGCATGAGCACTTCCCTCTTTCTACTGCTAATATCTCTCCCTATACAACCAAGCATTCTGCTAGCATTTCCTGCTGCTCTATTACATTGTGTGGGAGCGCTGGGACTGGGAAGGAGCTCTTAAAGTGCTCTGCACCCCCAGAAGTGTACCACAGGCTTTCTTACAGCCACGCTGCCCCTGTCCTGCCTGCGGCCATGGCCTTGGTGACCTCCTGGGAAATCTGGCCCTGCATATAGTAGAACTAAGGAGAGTAATTGCTCTTGGACTTGGCCAATTCATATGGTTCTAATTCTCAGCTTTGATTTTTGTTTCTCTGTTTTTGGCTGTTCTTTAGCCCCACTCGTTCCTTTCCTCGAAGTCTTTCCAGTTTGGAGGGCCGCAGTGTTCCTGCGACGCCTGTTCTGAGTCGCAACGCTTGTAGCAGCTCAGCCTTAAGGTGAGTGAAACTGTTTTCACTTGTTCTCTGATGCAGCATGTGTTGTCATGGGTATTACCTATTTAGGGAGAGGTTATGTAGGGTGAACTGTAATGAGGGTGTGAGATGTGGTGGCGGGGTGATGTAATGAGGGTGTGAGATGTGGTGGCGGGGTGATGTAATGAGAGTGTGAGATGTGATGGTGGTGGGGTGATGTAATGAGGGTGTGAGATGTGATGGTGGAAGGGGGATGTAATGAGGGTGTGAGATGTGATGGTGGAAGGGGGATGTAATGAGGGTGTGAGATGTGATGGTGGTGGAAGGGGGATGTAATGAGGGTGTGAGATGTGATGGTGGAAGGGGGATGTAATGAGGGTGTGAGATGTGATGGTGGTGGGATGTAATGAGGGTGTGGATGGTGGTGGAAGGGGATGTAATGAGGGTGTGAGATGTGATGGTGGTGGGGTGATGTAATGAGGGTGAGATGTGATGGTGGTGGGGTGGATGTAATGAGGGTGTGAGATGTGGTGGTGGAAGGGGATGTAATGAGGGTGTGAGATGTGGTGGTGGAAGGGGGATGCAATGAGGTGTGAGGATGATGGTGGTGGGGTGATGTAATGAGGGTGTGAGATGTGATGGTGGTGGAAGGGGGATGTAATGAGGGTGTGAGATGTGATGGTGGTGGAAGGGGATGTAATGAGGGTGTGAGATGATGGTGGTGGAAGGGGATGTAATGAGGGTGTGAGATGTGATGGTGGTGGAAGGGGATGTAATGAGGGTGTGAGATGTGGTGGTGGTGGAAGGGGATGTAATGAGGGTGAGATGTGGTGGTGGTGGAAGGGGATGTAATGAGGGTGTGAGATGTGGTGGTGGTGAAGGGGATGTAATGAGGGTGTGTGGTGGTGGTGGAAGGGGATGTAATGAGGGTGTGAGATGTGGTGGTGGTGGAAGGGATGAATGAGGAAAGGGGATGTAATGAGGGTGTGAGATGTGGTGGTGGTGGAAGGGGGATGTAATGAGGGTGTGAGATGTGGTGGTGGTGGAAGGGGGATGTAATGAGGGTGTGAGATGTGGTGGTGGTGGTGGAAGGGGGATGTAATGAGGGTGTAAAGAAGGCATTAAGAGGAGTTCCTGGAGAGATCACTGAAGGTTTTTTTTTTTTTTTTCCCCTTCCCTAGATCGGAAAGTTCTGTTATGTCCCAGCAGTGGTCTGGAAGTCAGGACTCCCAGGTGGGCTTTCCAAGTGATCGAAGCTCTGTTCAGACTGTGAGGAACCGGCGTAGTAACAGTTCTGAAGCTCTGATTGAGCGCCCACCCCCAACTGAGCTTCAAGGTAAACCTTCCTTCAAGAGTTCAGAAGCCTTAACTGAACGACCTCAGCCAGGACCTAATTTCAATCAGTCCCAGCAAAGAGGAGCCAAGTCCCCTGACCTGCGGACACCAAGTGGGGGAACAAGGTTGCCTTATGAGGAGATACTGATGGATTATTATATGGAGCGACAGCTGCAACACAATCGAGGGTGGACAGAGCCTGATGGGCATTGGTGGGTAGAACCAGAGAGTCCCTGGTGGGCAGATCCAGATGGCAGTTCTCATTACTCCCGACGGGATGGTTATTATGAAGGGTACCCAGGCAGCCCAGCACTGCGAAGCCGTGCAGAGACCCAGCAACGCAAAAATGCTGCTCGCAACAAGTCATGTGGGCCCCAACTCTCTGAAGTTAATCACTTTCAGCAATCGTGGCACCATGACAACTTTCAACAGCGACCTCAGCAACAAGTGTCTCACCAGGGGCCACGGTCTCGCAGCCAGCCTCGAGCTCCCCCACCAGAGTCAATGGAAAGGAATGTGCACAAAGCCTTAGCCCTAGAAGGGCTCCGGGACTGGTACCTACGCAATTCCGCAGCCCCTGGGGGCATGCACCGAAGTCCTGTCCCCCCTCATCTGCAATACCAGCGCTACGCTCAGCCTGGGTACCATGATGGACATTACACGACTGGCTCCCCACTCCCCCATTCAGTCAGTTTTACTGCGGCCCCTCTCCACAGCAGGTATGGGATTCTTCACTAGCTACTTCTGCCTCACTTTCTAGGTCACTCTCAGCATAGACATAGTGTTTAAGTGCACTGCGTCATGACGTTTAATCGTATCACATCTCTTATCCTAAAGAAAGAATTCACTTTAATCAACACAGCAAAATCACTGTGCACAGGGGGAGCATAGTTTTTCCCTTTAGATCGCTCTCCTGCCGTGGGGACCACATGGATTAATTTAAAACCAAAACCCGCAAAGAGACAGCGTCGCTTTAATATTCACATTTCCACGGTTTAGTGAATGCATCTCAGGGAGGCACGCTAAAGTGGGAATTTAAAGTCAATTTAAATTTTAGGACAAAATCTTTCAAAAGAGAAGCTGTTTTGGAGGATGTTTCCAGTTCAGATTAAAATTCATTAGAGTTCCTGACATTTTACATAATCGTGATCAGCCCTCCCTGTTTATGTCAGTGTTTCTAGCATATTTCCCAGCATGCCTCTGACATCTAGGAGAGAGATGTGGTTACTTAAAGAATTACTCCAAGCATTATTACCACTGACATTGGTGGTTAAGGTGTGCTCCTCCTTATTAGAAGTAATGAAACTAATCTATTTTTCAATTCTTTCACTTCTTACCTGGGGTCCACCAGGGGCCACTCCCTGCCTCCACTACCAACGCCGGAGAAATGGAAGCTCCTAAGCAAAGTTTAACTCGAGAGTACTCAACTGACTGCTTAGGACCTTCCTGCTCTTCAGAGTTCGAGGAGGCCTGGTTGACCCCAGTTCAGAAGTGAAACCATTGAAAACCAGTTTGACTATTTCCAATAGGGGGAGAGGAGGGGAGGCACCAGGGAATTCCTGACACCATTACCACTTCAGCGTACTGTTCTACTAATAGGGCCCAAGGCAGGACTTGTTTTTTTTGGGGGGGGGGTTTTATGTCTGTACTGCACTTTCACTAATTCTGAATGTCTAATGCTTCTCTTTGCTCTTCCTCTCCTCCTCGATTCCATTTCTCCCCACACCACCACTCCAAATCCATTGCTTCGCCAATTCAATTATACGGCTCCCTCGCCACTCCTCCTCCCTAACTCCCTTTATGTCTCCATACATAACTTGTTCTCTCTGATCACCCTCACTATCTGCCATTATTTCCCTCGCCCATTAAAATTAGACACTTCGATTATCTTGATGAGGAACTTTATAGTCAGACGCTGAGCATGGCACACAGAGAACGGTCTGCTGATGGCACTCCTCCAGGAACATTAGTCTGACACTGGACCTAGGCCAGGATCTGGCAATTACACTGGACTCCCTCTGATGAATGTGCATTCAAGCAATAATAGAAGGCAGAACGGGAACACCGGACCTATAATCAGTGGAAGGTTTTATCGAGTGGGGCTTCGCTCCTGTTTTTTGTCCAGGTGCAGCCATCCCATCATGTTTGAGTTAATGTCTTTGTTGCAGAGTACAGGGCCAGCCGCCCCAGCTATAAATGCTCACATGTCATATTTGTGTAAAATCTCCATTGCTGAAAGTTTGTAAATGACAGAAGTGGTCATGTCTGATGGGAGAAGGACCTATACCTGGTCCGATCACCTGCAGAAAGTGCCCTCCCTGTGGGCATTAATTGAAAACGTTACAAATTTATAAAATCTGCATTAGCACTTTAAAAAAAAAAAAAGCAAACAAAAACACTACTTCATCCTGAATTGGGTATTGATTGATGAAAGTTCTGTAAATTGCGATCACATCATGTTTAGTGAATGACCCTCTTCCTGGCACTTATCCTGCAATGTCAGCCAATGGCCACACCAAACAGACAGGGATACCAGATCGATACCCAAAGAGCTGGAAACAGGAGAGTAAAAACTTAAAACCAAGTCTTTTAAACCTAATTTGAATGTGTTTTTTTTAAAAAAAAAATTTTATTTACATTGTTCCCAAGAACCTGTGACCAAAACTGACATTTCTTGGCCACTATCCGCACTCACGCTCTGTCCGTTTAATCCACTTTCGGGGCCCAGGTCCTATAAGCATTTGGTTAACTTTCTAAGCTGCTTTGTGTATATTAGGGGGTGTATATTGTAGGGTGTGTGGGCCCCAGGGACTGAGGGTCACACTGTTCCTATGTCCTTCCATAATCCAATAGGAGGGAAATACTCAGACTCTGGGAAGGAAGCAGCATGGGTCCGTGGACATGGTCTATTCCTGTGACACATGATGGACGGTATTTTGGGCGACACTGAGCTGGACTCAGTGCTGGGATCCTGCACACTGGAGTATATTTAGTTTAAAAATGATTGTCCCAAACTCTGAGAACACTGTGCAATAGCTGCAAACCCAACTTTTTGGGGATATTTCATTTGTTGATGGTGTGGGGCAATTTAACAATAAAATATTAAATGCCTGGTGTGTTTTTCTTCCCTTGTGGTGAATAAATTATCACTGTAAGTAGCACCCTCCCCTATTCCTAACTGGACACAAGTGCCTCCTGCCCCTTCACTGCATGCAAACTTAACAAAATCCCTCACTGCACACAAGCCCCTCCCTATTCCTCACTGCACGCAAGCCCCTCCCTATTCCTCACTGCACGCAAGCCCCTCCCAATCCCTTACTGCACGCAAGCTCCTCTCAATCCCTCACTGGACCCGAGCTCCTCTCAATCCCTCACTGGACCCAAGCTCCCCTCAATCCCTCACTGCACGCGAGCCCCTCCCAAACTCTCACTGCATTCAAGCCCCTCCCAATCCCTCACTGGACCCAAGCTCCTTCCAACCCCTCATTGCATGCAAGCCACTGGCTATCCCTCACTGCACGCAAGCCTCTCTCTGCATGCAAGCCCCTCCCTATCCCTCACTGCACACAAGCCTCTCCCTGCATGCAAGCTCCTCCTAATCCTTCACTGCACACAAGCCTCTCCCTGCATGCAAGCCCCTCCCTATCCCTCACTGCACACAAGCCTCTCCCTGCATGCAAGCTCCTCCTAATCCCTCACTGCACACAAGTGACTCACTCTATAAAAGCCTCTGTACTTTCCTCACTGCAGCCCTTCCCATCCATTATATCCAAATACAAGTATAAATAGCTGTGGTGGTATACCTTCCCGAAGATGGGTTAATACCGCCTGTGGTCGCCCCTTCCTGGATGTAATAGCTTCAGAGTGATTACAGCTGCCAGTAATTATAGGTATCGCTGAAGGGGTAACCGTGGTATCACCCAAACACGAGCCGAGGCTTAGTGAAGTGTGAAGATCTGTTTATTCCAGCCAAATGGCTCACATTTATACTGAATCTGGTACAGTGTCACCATGTCTCAGCAACACAATACAAAATATGAAAACACATATATAGCGGAGAGCTGGTCTCTCACAGCCTATATCCGCTAGTAATCCAAGGGAGGCTCAGGATCAAGTAATAAAACCCAGAAGAATAGTATCCACAGTAAATAGAGTAATCCAAGAAGATCCCATCACTTTCCCCAATCACTGGACGACACACAGCATCAGGAGCAGAACTAAACTTTTAATCCACACCATCTTCTTTTAAGCATTTCTCCCATGCAAGGGAGACACGCACAATAATTAGTACAGTAACCAATCGTGTATATGTTCCCTTCCAAACATCTCCTCCCCTCAGTATGACACATTATCCACTTATACAGTATAGGATTTTACCCGGTTTTCAGATGTACCCCAAATATGCAAGATACAGTGATACATTTTATATTCCATGATAGCCCTGATCTGGGTGAGCAACGTATTCAAAAATCACCCAGATCGGACCAGGGGTTCGGGACTTAGATTGAAGTCGAGATTTGACCAACCGCACACGAGACAGTAGCCGAAAACAGTTCCATAGGTTTGGCCCTTGCAGTCGGTCTTTGTTCGGTACATAAAAATCACGAAAATGCTGGGGTTCGGCTGAATCCCCTTGTTCGGGAGATTCATTTAAACGAATGATGGACTGATTCGTGGTTCTGGAGGTCTTAGTGGTGTTCGGGTAATCGAGTGTCCGATTTGGGTTCCAGACACTCGACGACCAAACAACACTGAGCGTTCGTATGTAAAATGGCCGCCGCCACGTGTTCGTATGCCGAACAGCGGCCACCCAGCAAGCCCACAAGGAGGGTTTAGTCAATTGCCAATTAGCTTGTGGTTATAGTGAATCAAGGAGTCAGCGAGAGGCACACTTATCCCTGGAGTGGTCTGATTGTTCGGTAGTTTAATTCGTATGATGAATAGAGTGATTTTACTGAACAATTAGGTGAATGCTGCATACAATAGGAATACACATATCAGAAAATTAACTAAAGCATATCATAACACACTTTTGCACACAGCCCAATGCCATCCGCTACACTGCTCCCCCTTGCCCACAAGCCAGCATACACAGTCTGATCCAGCACAGATCGGCTTGGGGATGTCCGGGGCTGCTCATGGATCATTTTTCCAAGTCTGTTTGTCTAGACAACCTGTCAGCGTTTCAGTTTTGTTTTCCCAGGCAATACTGAATGTTAAAGTCAAAAGGCTGCAGCGCCGAACTCCAGCGCAGCAGCCTGGCATTGTCCCCAGCCACCCGGTTTAGCCATACCAACGGGTTGTGATCCGTGAGCAGAGCAAAGGGCTGTCCATACAAATACGGTTGCAACTTCTTCAGGCCCCACACCACAGCCAGGTATTCCTTCTCAATGGCGGTGTAGCTTACTTCTCTGGGTAGTAGCTTGCGATTGATGTAAGCCACGGGATGTTCTCCGCCATCGGCCCCGACTTGGCTCAGTACTGCCCTCAATCCAAACATAAAAGCGTCTGTGTGAACAAGAAAACGTTTAGTTGGATTGGGAGCTGCCAAGACAGGGGCATTGATAAGTGCATTTTTCAGATGTTGGAATGCCTGCTCCCACTCCAGGGTCCAGGTTACTTGGCGGGGAAGGTTTTTCCGGGTAAGGTCAGTAAGGGGCTTGGGCAGGGCGCTATAATTAGGCACAAACTTCCTATAGTACCCTGCCGTCCCTCGAAATGCTAACACCTGAGTCTTAGTTTGCAGGGTGGGCCATTGGGCTACGGCCTCTACCTTCGCTGGTTCTGGCTTTTGCTTCCCACAGCCCACTCGATGTCCCAGGTACTGTACCTCGGCCATCCCTATACTACATTTGTCAGGTTTCAATGTCAAGCCTGCCTCCCTGATCCTATCTAGAACCGCCCCAAAATGGGCCATGTGTTCCTGCCAGGTATTGCTGAAGATGGCAATGTCGTCTAGATAAGCATAGGTATAGTCTTGGAACCCATCTACGATCCGGTTCACCATCTGCTGGAAGGTAGCCGGAGCGTTTTTCATCCCCAACGGCATGACCTTAAATTGGTACAAGCCGAATGGGGTGACAAAGTCTGACTTAGGGATGGCGTCCGGGGCCAAGGGGATCTGCCAATACCCCTTACACAAATAGTGTGAGGTATTGACCCCTGGCCATCCTGTCTAACAGTTCGTCTATCCTGGGCATAGGATAGGCGGACACTGTTTTCTCGTTCAACCTCCAGCAGTCCACGCAGAAGTGGGTCGTACCGTCTCGCTTGGGTACGAGGACTACTGGGGAGGCCCAGGGGCTGTCTGATGGCTTAATCACCCCTAGTTGGAGCATCTTGTCTATCTCCTTGCGCATGCTTTCCCGTACCGCTTCAGGGATGCGGTAGGGAGTTTGGGGTTTCTACCTGGGGTTTCTACCCTGTGAGTGGCCAGAGGAGTGTACCCAGGTACATTGGAGAAGGTGTCTTGCTTCTTCCTCAGCAGCTGCTGCACCTCGGTACGCTCCTGTGGGCTCAACCGGTCTCCCAGCGCAACCTCCCCTAAATCCCCAGACAACCGACCATCTCCCAGAAGGTCTGGGAGGGGACGGCTGTCAAACTCGTCAGAGTTGGGTGCACAGATAGCAGTCACCTCTTCAGAGCGTTCCTGGTAGGGCTTCATCATGTTCAGATTGGATCATACGTCGCCCTCCAGTTCCTGCACAGGGGCCAATTATATACGTGGTGTCACATCTCTGTTCTACCACTCTATAAGGGGCCTGCCAGGCGGCCTGCAACTTGTCATGTCGGGCAGGTTCTAAAATTTAAAACTTTCTGCCCGACCTGGAAGCTACGGTCCCTGGCGCCCCGATCATACCAGGTGCGTTGGCGGGTCTAAGCCGCCTGAAGGTTTTCCCTTACTGACCTAGTCAATGCTTCTAGTCGGTCTCGGAACGCCAACACATATGGTATGATAGGGGTACTGTCTGTGCT